GTGTTGTTGTCCCTCTGTTACAAATACACGTTTGTGTAGGGGAGAGCTCGCCAGAAGAGGATCTAGTGGCACCTGGCAGGATTCAGCTTTATAAGAAAGCGAAGCTTTCCTTCCGTGGTTCTCAGTTCACCATAGAGGCAGGATGAGGGATTGCCTGGACCCGGGAAGCCCTCTCCCCCTGCTCCTTTGTCCTGCCAGACTTGGCATACATTTCCGTCCAGTGAGCATTCTTCGAGAAATGTGGGGCTTGCAGTGTGAGGATGTCGGGGTCGTGAATGACACAAACACAAGAAACGGTAGTCCCGTATATTTAACAATATATATTTATATATATATTCTAGATCAGTACATTCAGTTTTAACCTGTTTTTTTCTTCACAAACAGAAGAACTCTTACAATAGTAGACTTTCTAAAATAAATACTATTAAAATAGAGCTTCAAAATAAATATTCTATACAAAGGGAACCTTCTGTGGTAACTTTTGTTGTGGGGTGAGAAGGGACTACAGTGAAGAGGGAAAATGAAGAGATGTGATGGGATGGGAACCTTGAACAGCTTTTCTGTTTGTAACACGAAACCAGACTGTGGGGCAGTGAGAAGAGAAAGCCAGATAAGACACCACACAGTTACCCACAGTGAAAAATGGCAGCGCAAGAATTGTCATCAACTGTCACAGTAAGCAGAGGGCGTGAAAATGCTGACCGAAGGCATGGACCAGAAGGCCGGTGAAGCTTGTGGGATGCCCTAGTGAACTGAATTGTACAGTGCAAAGTCATGCTGCCCACAGCCCGTCAGACATCTCTGGGGCAGCATGGGGTGAACATGAAGCTTCGAGGTGACAGATTCCGGGTGCTGGTCCGACCCAACGTTTTTTCCATGTTGTGCAACCTTGGACAAGTCATTATCTAACTGGGTCTCACTCGATGTACAGTGGGGACCCACACAGACTCCAGAACACTGAAAGAACCAGACATGTCACTTGAAGGTCTTCCATCTGTCAGCTGTGAAGGGCCCTTATCAACAGCAGGGCCTGGTCCCTATCTCCTAGCCAGGGACACTTTTGAGAAACCTGGGTTGTGCCCCGTTGTCTAACTGGGAGGGCTCTGCTACCCTAGACCCAGTTCCCGGGGTACGTTGTGGGGTGTTGGGCCTTCACAAATCCGCCTCCCAGTGTGTAGCAACCAAGGTCCCCTCGGACATGTGTCCTGGACCCAGGCTTGTGGGCCCCACCCCAGGTTCCAGGCAGAACCACCACTCACTCCAGGTCGCATAGAAGTAGGAACCAGCTGGCACTTTTCAAAAAAGGTCAAGACGAGGCCTAATTCAGCCAAGCAAGCTGTTGGTGACAGGAAATACGATCAGCCAGAAGTAGCCACAGAAATGTGTCGTGTTTCTGAGAACTTGGTCCCTCAGTGGCCCTTGACTGGCCCCCAGGGTCCGCGGGCAAGCCAGTTTTTTTTTCCTTTGCCCAGAAGCCGAGAAAAACATGCCGAAGGACTGCTATGCGACAGAGCGGGGAGGGCCCCACCTGCTCCACTCCTTCCCTTCACCACCGAGCACGTGGGACACGAAGAGTTCTGCAGACATCCACCTAGCAGGTTAAATGCAAACTAAAAGAGACAAGCCGAAACAGGGGAGAAAAAAAATAAAGGGAAAAAGGAAACCAAAACCCAGAAAAATCCGTGTTTACAACTATGTACACAAAAAGTCAGGTTTCAGGAGACCGTTTGCCAGAAATAGGGTCTGTGTTGATAGAGGGTCTGTGGGGTAGGTGTATGTGTGCATGTCTACACAGCTTATGTAAATCAATTCTCCACAGCACGGGTGTGTAGAACACCATCGCCAAAGTGCAACTTGCCACTGGGTCAAGTTTCCCATGGAGACATCTGAGGGAGGGGCTCTGGGAAAGGTCCCAGAGGCCCGGCTAAGGGCAGATACGTGCCCTCTTGTTTGGGGGTTAGCCTCTGCACACCTACTCTGAGGAAGACATCTCCAGTCCCTTCAGCACACATCTGATACATTCAATTAGTATGAGTGGTTGGCTGAATGTGTTTTTTTCTACCATTCTTTCCATTTGTGCAAGAACATCCATACATCCGTCACGACTGTGGCACGGGTAGCTACATGAATCAGCCTTAGAAAACACAGATGCAATATTTCATGTCTGCCTTTTACAAGCTAGCAAAACGTTATATAAATAAAGCCTAAAATAATAAGACCCTCCCCTCCTTCCTCCAATCAATAAATACCTATGGTTACAATTAACTTATTCTAAATCATAAGTTGTTACTACTCATCTTAGAGAAGGGGGAAAAGAAAGTCCTTGAGAAGCATTAGGTGCATGCCAATTGTAGCTACCTGCCTCTTTGCCTCCTTCCTGGAGGCAATTATGTTCCCACAGAACACACCGGAAATGCTACAAACGCTCTACCTCATGAACTTCCAATTTCACCTGGGGTAACTTTTCAGACCCAGGCCACTTCCTCTTACGTGGTGGGGAGGAGCGGGGTTAACACAAAATACCACATGAAGCAAAAGCCCCGCATGACAGCTGGGGAGAAGGACCAGACACACTACAATGTTTGCATGCAACAAGTACCTACCCACTGGACGTGCTGCACTTTCTGAGTCCTTTAGCACCTTGAGAGAAAGAGTTGCTACGTCTTTGGGGGCTGTCAGGATGGGGTGGTATGGCCATGCACAGAAGCAGGGCTCAACCCCAAGAAGTCCCTGGAGAATCTTTTCCTTACCCACCTTCTTCTGACTCCCCCCGCCAGGGCTTCCTAACACTAAAATAGACTTTTTTTTCATCATCTGTCTATTTACATTAAAGATACAGACACATCACTGTACATAAAAGGCTATGACAGCAAGCAGCAGATTCAGAAGAGAAGAAACCCACACCCATCTCGGCTCCACTGTCGCTCTGCCAGTGGGAGGTGGCTGCCTCTCTTCTTTGCTGTTAAAAATCCTCTTCTTGGTGGGGAGGGGGTTTGTGTTCCTTGAGGTTGCTTGCCCCCCCAGATTTTGAAATCAGCCCTTCCTGGGGGTGGCCCAAAAGGAAGCAAGTGTTTTATTATTATTTTCTAAAACACCGTTAGTATCTGGTTTAATTATTCTATAAAAACATAATGACTGGATCCAGAGACCACAGCCTCAGACTCATTGGCAAAATGATATTTGGTCTCGCACTTGCCGCCCTGTACTTCTCCACCCATAAAGTTTCTGGAAAGGATCTGGGCAGAGAGAACTCAGAACACATAGTGGGCAGGTGAGCCTGTGACTCAATGAGAACCGGAGGACGGTGTTTTAAGTGGAACACCCCCAAGAGTTAGTGATAGAGCTGGAAGGGACATCTCTGTGTAGTGGCTCCTAAATCCATCCGTGGCTGCAAAGACAGAGCAAGGAAACGAGGCCTGTATTCACTGGCCATCCTCTGTTCTCAGGGGCTCCCAAGTATATAAAACAGGGGCTGCCAGGGTCTACACCTTCCCCAAGATACCAAACTGTGGGGAAGGACAGGGAGGAGAAAAAGGTATAGACATCAAGTCAAGAATTCCAAGGGTCTTCTTCAAAGGTCTTCTGGCCACTCAGCAGTTCCTCCCAGGCAGCCAAGGAGAATGGAAAAAGGCGGGTGGGGGCGGGGGGGGATGGCAGAAAGGGAGGGAGGAGGGGGAACTGGGAAGGCATTCAAGCAGCTGCAACTTCCGGATATGTGGCCACATCTGTGTTCCGTCTTCTGGAAAAAAAAATCCCGCCCCCCAAACCACACCACACCCCTGTCGCTGTTTGACACAAAGTTCCAGGACCCTGAAAAAACCCAAAGTGCTTCTTCATCCTTTTGGGGAAGAGGGTTGGCGATAGGGTCTCTGTTTCTTCAGAAGCTGGGGTAGCGGGTGGGCACACTGGCAAGATCAGCCTCAGGACACGAACACCTGCGGTCTTCTCAGGTGTCATAAGGGAACCAAGTTTCCAGAGAGAGAGAGTGCGGGGGCGTCGACCTAAAGTGTCAGAAAGGCTTGTCGGGTCTGCAGGCCTTGGCCTCACTGGTGGCGGCCTTGCAGATGACGCTGTTCGTGTGCTTGCAGCGGCATCCGGGTCGGCGCAGGCGGTCGTAGCCGCGCTGGGCCAGCTTCACACAGCCTGTAGCGGGCAGGTAGCAGAGCAGGCAGGGCAGCACCAGCGAGAGGGCACTCATGAAGGACCAGCGGGCACAGCAGTTTGAGTGGGAACAGGAGCAGGGGTGGTCGGCGCAGGAGCCCTCATCGTCCTCGTTGGTGCAGTGGTAGAAGACGCCTTGCACCAGGCACATACAGGTGCTATAGTTGACCAGGGTCTGGGCTGAGCACAGGCATTCCTGGTTGCAGACCCAGCAGGAGGGCAACGTCCGGGGGGACGCACAGTCCTTGCACTTACACTTTCCACAGGCCTCGCACAGCAGGAAGTGCTTGTCCAGCTCTGGTGGGACTCCTGGGCCCTTGAGGTCCAGCGGCTTGCAGTGGACTGCCTTGGGCTGGATGCGCACAGCCCTTGGCGAGGCCTGGTCAGCCACGGGAGGTGGTGCCATGTGATCTAAGAGCCGCTGGTCAGAGGATGTGCTGCTGCTGCTGCTCACGGAGCTGGGGCGCCCACTGAAGGAGATCCAGTGGTGGGTGACGTCCTGGTCACAGCGGGCAGGTGTCGGGGCCAGTTCTGGGGCCCCACCCCGGGTCCGCTTAGAGCCAGCGGGAGCTGCCAGGCCAGGGTTGTCTATGTAGTCGTTCTCCACATGGCTGGTCTTCATCTGGTCGATGGGGAGGATGGTGAGGGGGTGTTGGAGCCGGCTGTGGGGCATACGGCTGTCAAGAAGGGGTTGGACCATGACTGAGCTGGGAGTCAAGGGGACGCTCTGTGGGATCGGGGGCTCCATGGGGCTGGAGGTCTTGAACTGCGCTGAGAAACAGGCTTCTAGGGGCCCTGGGGGGAGGGGAAAAGGAAGAGACAATGGATTCCAGGCGTCAGTATTTGGCCTGTTAACACCCCCACCCCCATCAGATTGTGGAAGCCCAAATGAAACGGGAACTGGTTTCCCTCAGTGGACTCTTCAGCATTAAGGCTTAGATGATTAATAATGACAATAATAATAGTAAGTGGTAGAAATAACACTTATTTAGCACTTAATGTGTGCTAGGTAGTCTCTTAAGCACCATAAATATTAAGTCTCGGACTCTCCACAATAACCCTAAATCATACCTGCTATTATTATCCCTTTTCCAGTCCAAAGTCACACAAAACTATCAGTAGCAGAACCAGGACTCAAATCTGAACCATCCAAGTTCTTTCTTGTAATCCCTGTGGAACATGCTCCTTATTCAAGATAGATAGCTCAGTGGTGATAAGCACAGGTTCTGGAATCAGATCCAAGTTCAAATTCTCCCCTCTGTCTCTCAGTGTTGCCGCGAATGAGGTTTTTTAACCTCTGTGCTTTAGTTTTATCAACTGTAAAATGGGTTCCTGTGAAGATTAAATGAGAAAATTTGTATCTAGTACCTAATATCTTGCTTGGCATACAGCAAGTGCTCAGTAATTTGACCATCCCGGAGAGCAAACAGTTGAGATTTCTTGAGCACTAATAAGCACTACATGCTGAGAAGCACTGTGCTGAGTGCTGAGGATGTGGTGACCAGGAGAGCCAGCCCCGATATGCTCCCATGGACTTTATCAGCTGGATAAACACAAGCCTTTATTTCAGATAGTCACAAGAGAAGGAAGGGCTGTATCTGATGCCTGCACGTCCAGGATATTAACTTATTACCGGCACTTCTAAGAGCAGCAACCTCCAGCGGCTAATAACCCCTGGGTAGGTGTGCTTCTGACAACTTGGATGGGAAATCCTCTTGAGGGGCACTCACATCACCCATTTCCAAGTGCTGAGCTGAACATTCAGCCTAAATGCTATTTACTAGAATAGCTAAGCCAACCCTGGATCAGTTTCTAATTTCACCGAGAGAGTGCAATTTTAAGTTGGAATCTAGCCAGAGATTCAACTGCAGTGCCTGACACGGAACCCCAGGAAGTCACTTAAATCAAAGAGCGGAAACGGCTTGGTTCAAATTTAGAAAGTGCACATTGTTTTCTATTAGAAGTGCCATTTCCTCGCCTGCTGACCTTTACATTCGGAATTCGGCTGGAGATCAATTTAAAGAAATAGCAGCAGAAGGCCAAGACCTCTGCCCAAGGGGACATGATTTGAAATCCAAGAGAAAGATTAGACTTTGGGAAGATTCCACCAGGGTGAGGGGGTGGGGGGCAGAACGCAGTGTGTAGACAGAAGGGGAAGATAACCTTCTTTAA